AGTCTCTCCTGCAGCAAAGCACCCCCACAGCATGATGCTGCCACCCCCGTGCTTCACGGTTGGGATGGTGTTCTTCGGCTTGCAAGCGTTCCCCTTTTTCCTCCAAACATAACGATGGTCATTATGGCCAAACAATTCTATTTTTGTTTCATCAGAACAGAGGACATGTCTCCAAAAAGTACGATCTTTGTCCCCATGTGCAGTTGCAAACCGTAGTCTGGCTATTTTATGGCGGTTTTGGAGCAGTAGCTTCTTCCTTGCTGAGCGGCCTTTCAGGTTATGTCGATATAGGACTCGTTTTACTGTGGATATAGATACTTTTGTACCTGTTTCCTCCAGCATGTTCTGGGATTAATTTGCACTTTTCGCACCAAAGTACATTCATCTCCAGGAGACAGAATGCGTCTCCTTCCTGAGCAGTATGACGGCTGCGTGGTCCCATGGTGTTTATACTTGCCTACTATTGTTTGTACAGATGAACGTGGTACCTTCAGGCGTTTGGAAATTGCTCCCAAGGATGAACCAGACTTGTGGAGGTCTACAATTTTGGCTGATTTCTTTAGATATCCTCATGATGTCAAGCAAAGACGCACTGAGTTTGAAGGTAGGCCTTGAAATACATCCACAGGTACACCTCCAATTGACTCAAATGATGTCAATTAGCCTATCAGAAGCTTCTAAAGCCATGACATCATTTTCTGGAATTTTCCAAGCTGTTTAAAGGCACAGTCAACTTAGTGTATGCAAACTTCTGACCCACTGGAATTGTGATACAGTGAATTATAAGTGAAATAATCTGTCTGTAAACAATTGTTGAAAAAATTACTTGTGTCATGCACAAAGTAGATGTCCTAACCGACTTGCTAAAACTATAGTTTGTTAACAAGAAATTTGTGGAGTAGTTGAAAAACGAGTTTTAATGACTCCAACCTAAGTGTATCTAAACTTCCGACTTCAACTGTACATGCTGTGTTAGTTAGGGCATGTTTACCTGCCAACATACCGTTGATCACGAGCCCATAATATGTCAATAAGGCTAACTGGCTAGCTACTACTGTTAGCAAGCCAGATAGCCATGAAGAATTGACATCTACCTTGGATAACATTGGTTTTAGGTCATTTTTGCCTGTTAATTATCTGCTTAGCTACATTATTACAATTCACATATAGCTAGCTGATAGTTATGAAGTAAAACGTTTGCTTTGTGTATATCTTGTTTAGTCTCTATTGCCATTGTCCTGGCTGGAAGAAGGTTCAGTGAATGGGTAAGTCCATAGTAAGTGATATTACGTATTTTATACAGGATTAGTTAATGTTTGATAATTGAGAGCTGCATAAGGATTTGGAGGATGAGGACATTCCATGTATTTATTTCTGTCACTGGTGGGTGCCAGAAGGTATGCGGGCCAAGATAGCTGGGGGGCAACTGGTGCTAATCGTAGGAGTACGTGATGGAATATCCTGACTAGGGTGCAACACGATACCATATAGGGTGATCCTATATGTGGTGAGGAGTGACACTCAATAATGGTTGGCAACTGTTGGATAGAATTAGCTTGCAAACAAGTATATAAGCTTAGAGATTTCCTTTGTTCAGTGAGTTCAGACAGCAATGAGCCACTCACGGGCCGTTTGCTATGTGAACCCGGTACCGCAATATTAAATACTTTTAATCAACTCTCCATGTAAGTGTTTAACTATTCTCTTGCATCCTGAATTACTTGATACAGGAGAAAATCATCATAACAGTAAGTAAATCGGGCTAACTGGCTAGCTAGCTAGCCACGAAGAATTGTTAGCTAGCTACCCACAAAGAATTGACATCTACCTTCCATAACATTAGTTTAGGTCATTTTTGCCTGTTTAACTAGCTGGCTAGCTAGAGTACTACGATTCACATATATCTAGCTGATAATTATGAAGTAAAATGTTTGCTTTGTGTATATCTTGTTTAGTCTCTATTGTTACCATGGTCCTGGTTGGAAGAAGGTTCAGTAAATAGGGAGATGCAGCGTGAGGTAATACAGTAGGGGGAGTGCGAGTGATTCTCAAATGTATTGTTTTATGCGTTCTCCACACTCTCGTCCTCACAAGAACGTCCTCAAGAGAACGTCCTCTGAGAATGCACTCGGAGAATGAGCGTAGATCACGGTAGTACGCATATTGAGAAACACCTATTGTGTATCAAATATTACTTTTATTATTACGTGTTTTTTTTTCTATTATTTCTCTATTTTCACAATACCGAGTGGTATTGGCTGTGCCTTTGGCCAATGGAGCGGTCTCTGACTGCACATTTTAGAGGTCCTCCTCTTGGCCGCAGAGACAAGGTTTTATTGTTTTAAATGCTAATTTCCTGCAATTCTATACATTTTGCCATGGGGCTGAGAGAAAATGTGCCATTGTAAAGCTAACTTCCTGCCCTGCAATTCTACACATTTGTGACTTGTTTCAGGAAACTAGACGTATGTCGCGCGTCACTACTTCACAGGAGAGCCATTTGAACGTAAACCAATTTTTTTACAAAATGCATTATTTGGCAGAAATGCCTTCCGGAACATAATCTTTCATGTGCCTTAATAACAAACTTGTATGCCATCTGTAATACGAATATAATTGTTAAATTGCAAGCCTAGTTGGTTTAGCCACGGAAAAAGAAAGCAACCTTCCCGCTAGCCATAATTTGCTGAGATAATGAGTTTGGATTGTCTTCCATGTAGCAAGCGTCTGTCTATAACATGAGCTGGTCAGTATGTGTACGTAATCCTTTCTAATGCGTTTTTTTTAAAGATATCACTTAGTAGAACTGCATAAGTGTTGCTCTCCACTTTCTGGAGGACCGAGTTTTGAAATCAGTGGAATTAGAGTATGATAGCTAAGGAGATGGAGAAAATGTTGATTGCAAATACGGAGACGGAGTCGAAAAGAGAACACAGATGGCTCCGGATTACACCTTCAAACTAGGGGCAACCATGGCATCTGCGACAGAGAGGGAGAAGCGTCCATCCATGTATACGGGTAAGATTGTCTAGCTAGATACATTTTCAGATATTACACGTTTCTAATTTAGTCAGAAAGTCATTTTCATTTCAAGTTAAAGTGTACCGTTAGCTAGCTAACGATAGCTGGCTGGCTCGCTAGCTAACGTTAGGTGTATGATCTGTGTAGTAATATTATTCGTATCCCAGAGCCATTTGCATTGCTAGTTATAGCCTAATGTTAGCTAGCAAACATTGAACCTGGTTGGTTAGCTACCTGCAGATTCATGCAGGGTTGTAACATTATGTGTTGGGATTATGGTTCATTGTTTAGCTTGCTAGCTACATGTCTAAACAAAAGACTCCACTATGCAAGTAATCATTTCAATAGAATGTTCATTATGTCACTGCGACAACTGTCGATAGACATAGGGTGCGTTCGTAAATTCGCTCTGGCTATCTACTCCGATTTCAGAGCACTCTCGTCTGAGTGTGCCAGCGCACAGAATAACTGACGAATTTACGAACGCTCAACACCCGCTGAATATGGCCGGTGTCAGTAAACGTTGGCAAAAAAGCGTAATTAAATTGTTGCCAGCAGCACAGTTGCAGTCACCAACGCTCTGGATAACAGCCTAACCAGCTCTGCTAGGGGAAGTAAAATGGTCAGTGAGCTCTCTCTCATTTGTGTCTGGAAGTAGCTAGCAAGCTAGCCAATGTTAGCTTGGGTGATTGACTGCTGCTGTTAGGTCAGAACGCTCAGATCAACCCTACTGTGCGCTCTGAACGCTCCGAGAGCGAAACGCTCTGAATTTACAAACGGACAATCTGACAACGCTCTGAGCACACTCTGGCACTCCAGATTAAATGTACGAATACACACGTAGTATAAACCAGCCTTTAGTATTGAAATATTTGGTAGCTTAAGAGGGTGTGAACGATGCTGAATCAACTTTCAAAGCAGAATTACTTTTCCATTATTCCTCAACTGTAGTGTATGATATACAATTTTCTAGCTCTGAGTCTTTACTTTTATCCAATGTAAAAAACACAATTTCAAATGTTGCGACATAAGACCGAATCGAGCCGGTCGGTCACATTTAGTCATGGCTTATGCAGTGATCTTATACCATCTGATTGACTCATAACAAAATCAATGGGGGCCCCATGGCATGACATTTGAAACATTTTATATTTTCCCTGACTGTCTAGTTTTTATTTTGGTGATTGTTAGTTCTCAAAGATGATCTTATTTAAAAATATATATAAAAATATAACACTGAAAACGTTTAACCATCATATTTGTTGGGTACCATGTTGTTAGCTAGATAGCCAGGTAACATGACTAAACAAGGTATTTTTTTATCAAACCAAAAACTTGTGGCCAACGAGTAGTTTAAAACGGTCCGCAAAATGGTTTATAAAATTATATAACATGTACGCCAATTCATGGTAGAATGGGGTTTGGGCGAGAAACTCGTGGTTTTCATTTATGTAAAGGAGCAAGGATGACTGTCATTGTGCTCAGTTTTTCCTCTATGGCAATGGCACTCATAGGTTACGTGACAGCGAAGTCAGACTGGCCTGCTTGTTCTTACAGACGCAATGAAAAGATATCTATGTATCCACTTCGCTCGCGTTGCGAGCCGCTCCAATAATTAAACACATTTAACAACAGAAACCCCATCACTGCACACCCCAGCTCCCCATTACGGCTAAATAACATTTTTAAACCTCAGTAGGCTAGGCTAATTGCTGGTTAGGGTATGCGGCTGGCTGCTCACAACTGTCACGCGTGATATTGGATGACGCACTCATTGCTCAATGGGAGATACATTCTACGTCTGCGCACTTTCGTCAGACCCCACCCCCCTCCCACAAACCTTTTTCTTTTTTCACAGATCTACAAGATGATCTATTTTCAGATCAAAATTGTGAATATCGCTGAAAAGTGGCTCGTTTACATCCCTGATAAGTTCTCCCTAGACACGTTACCAAACCAAAAAACGGCCCACTGACCTCCGAGGAGAACATGGTGGCACAGGTTCCTATACACCAGCACACCACCGGCTTGGTTATCCTGCCCTCCTTGATGCCTTGACAGATCTTATACTCTTCTGTGCCTCCGACCTACACAAGGAAAGGGAGAGAGAAAAGAGATAGGAGAGGAGAGATGTTAATTTTGGATATTTTGTAAATAGAAATCTATAGGATAATTTACCAAATCTAATAGAAATCCAATATAAATATTAGTTCAGAGAAATCTAATATAAATATATTTTTAATATAAATATACACATTGTAAATCATGTTTCATGAAATTTGATGATATTTGTATAAAACCATATCAAAGTATGATGACCAAAATATGAAAACTGACTGTTGCTTCAACATTGATAAAGTTTGATCATAAAGATATTGGTCCCCTACCCCATGTCAAACACTTGGATTAAGGGAATAGGGTGACTTCATTGACTCATTTTAATACACCAATGGTAACATGATATTATTTTACCTAATTTAAATAAGTTCCGCTTTGTAACCAACATTGGAGAAGGCGTGTTTGCAGAGGGGCGTGGTTTATATACAATGCCTTCAGAAAGTATTTATACCCCTTGACTTTTTCCACATTTGTTGTTATACAGCCTGAATTTAAGATAGATTAAATAGATTTTTTTTTGTCACTGGCCTACAACCAATACCCCATAATGTCAAAGTGGAATTATGTTTTTCGAAATTTTTACAAATTAATAAAAAATGAAAAATGTCTTGAGTCAATAAGTATTCAACCCCTTTGCTATGGCAAGCCTAAATAAGTTCAGGAGTAAAATTGTGCTTAACAAGTCACATAAGTTGCATGGCTCATAAGGTCCCTCATTTGAGCAGTGAATTTCAAACACAGATTCAACAATAATGACCAGGGAGGTTTTCCAATGCCTCGCAAAGAAGTGCACTTATTGGTAGATGGGTAAAAAAAATTAAAAGCAGACATTGAATATCCCTTTGAGCATGGTGAAGTTATTAATTACACTTTAGATGGTGTATCAATACACCCAGTCACTACAAAGATACAGGCGTCCTTCCTAACTCAAGTTGCCGGAGAGGAAGGATTTCACCATGAGGCCAATGGTGACTTTAAAACAGTTAGAGTTTAATGGCTGTGATAGGAGAAAACTGAGGATGGATCAAGAACATTGTAGTTACTCCACACTACTAACCTAATTGAAAGAGTAAAACGAAGGATGTCTGTACAACAAGTCACTAAAGTAATATTTATAAAAATGTGGAAAAGCAATTAACTAACTCATTGCCCTGAATACAAAGTGTTATGTTTGGGGCAAATCAAAAACAACACATTACTGAGTACCACTCTCCATATTTTCAAGGATAGTAGTGGTTGCATCATGTTATGGGTATGCTTGTAAATCGTTAAGGACTGGGGAGTTTTTCTGGATAAAAAATTAACTGAATGAGCTAAGCACAGGCAAAATCATAGAGGGAAACCTGGTTCAGTCTGTTTTCCACCAGACACTGGCAGATTAATTCACCTTTCAGCAGGACAATACGCTAAAATACAAGGCCAAATCTACACTGGAGTTGCTTACCAAGAAGACAGTGAATGTTCCTGAGTGGTCGAGTTTCCGTTTTGACTTAAATCTACGGCAAGACCTGAAAATGGTTGTCTAGCAATGATCAACAACAAATTTGACACAGTTTGAAGATTTTTGAAATGAATAATGTTTCACAATCCAGGCGTGGAAAGCTCTTAAGAGACTTAACCAGAAAGACTCATAGCTTTAATCGCTGCCAAAGGTGCTTCTACAAATATTGATCCAGGGGTGTGAATACTTATGTAAATAAGATATTTCTGCATTTCATTTTCATTACATTTGCCAAAATGTACACTTTCTCATTATGGGGTATTGTGTGTAGATGGATGAGAAAAAATAAATACATTACATCCATTTTGAATTCTGGTTGTAACAACATTGTGCATTTTCCCACCAGAGATGTGTTTCCATCAAATTGACTAGTTATGGATAAAAGGCTGCGCGTGATCACATAATGCACATAAAACCCTTTGCCGTTAAATTCCCATGTGCCAAATAAAAAATACAACTTAAACGGGTTTCCATCGCATTTTCAACTCTACTGATGGTTTTCTCACAAAAAACTATTGCGTTATATAAGCGAGTGTGCTCACTCTGGTATTGGCATGTGCGCTCTAGACAACAGCTTGCAGATACAGTGCCGGTATAGCCTACATGAGATTATGCTGAACAAAAGAGCGAGATTATTTTGTCAAACGGCAGCCAAGCATCGATGATCTTGTTACCAGAATAAGACCCTCAATATTTATTGGAAATGAGCATCAAGCTCATCACCTTGCACTTTCACCTCTCTTTGAAATTCATCATAATCTGTAGCCTAATAAACCGCATGCTTTCCCGACGAGTTGTAGTGGGAGGACCACACAACGTGTCATTGCGTGACTCCCAAGGTTACTTCGATATGATTCTTATTATATCAATATTTGGCATTCAAACTTTTCCACTGACATTTCTCGCATAACTCATTTGACCTTGTCTAGCGTATTTGGTTTTGTTGACATTTGGAAAGTTTCCATTAGGCCTGTCATGACATGTTTTTCTCCGACACGCACTTTACTCGCATTAAAAGGTTGGATGGAAACCTGGTTACTGATGCAATTTCAATGTTGTTTGAGTTGCTTTGTGTATCACCAAATTTGCTTGAGATGATTTTACTGTCTGCATTTTACTCACTGCATCCACGTTTCTTGACATAGGCCTTTTAAAGAGCTGTCAGTCAAGGCAAGCTCATGAATATACTCTCCCAACCCACTCAGCCTGTCTTTTATAACTTCCTGGTAGTTAGCCATGAGAGAAAGAGTACTTTTTCTCAAATTTTGAGCATTTCATTCCCCCAAAATATTATGGGTGATATTTTAGTCACTCAAAAAGCTATTTTACATGGGAATCAGAATGACTGTTCTGGACTTGTAAGACATAATACAAATATACATCTATTAGAAGCAATGCTGGTAAAAACAAGTCACCCTAGTCATAGACTGTTCTCCCTGCTACCGCACGGCAAGCGGTACCGGAGTGCCAAGTCTAGGTCCAAAAGACTTCTCAACAGCTTCTACCCCCAAGCCATAAGACTCCTGAACAGCTAATCATGGCTACCCGGACTATTTGCACTGCCCCCCCACCCCATCCTTTTTACGCTGCTGCTACTCTTAATTATTTATGCATAGTCACTTTAACTCTACCCACATGTACATATTACTTCAACTATCTCAACTAGCCGGTGCCCCCGCACATTGACTCTGCACCGGTACCCCCCTGTATATATATAGCCTCCCTACTGTTATTTTATTTTACTTCTGCTCTTTGTTTCGCAACACTTTTTTTGTTGTTGTTTTATTTTAAAAAATAAATGCACTGTTGGTTAAGGGCTGTAAGTAAGCATTTCACTGTAATGTCTGCACCTGTTGTATTCGGCGCATGTGACCATTAACATTTGATTTGATTAGATTTGTAGTGCCAATAAAAAAGACTCACCTCTCCTAGCATCACGATCATCTTAACCCCCGGAGTGTCCTGGTAGCGGAGCACGTGGTCCATGAACGTTGAGCCTGGATACCTACAGGTCAACGCAAATGGAGCTTTAGTAGAGGAACTTGTTTTAAAGAAACAAGGTAGAAGTTAATAGATTATTATCAAGCATTTTATACTATTTGAGTACATAATAACAACAACCTTACCGTTAAAGTAAAAACTTGGCCTTCTATTGACGTCTCAGAGTAGGAGTGCTGATCTAGGATCAGGTCCCCGCTAAATTATTATCATTTTAAAGGAAAAACATATCCTAGACCAGCACTCCTGCTCTGAGATGCTTTGAGAATACAGGCCGTGGAAGATAGCTCCAGTGAAATAAAGTGGAACCCTTCATCCCTATTTGGAATGGATTCTCTAATTAGCCATTTGCCCTCTGACATCTCCTCTTCCGCCTCCTAATCTTCCTCACCGGTCACCTCCGATGGCCACGCCCTCGTAGACGCCGTCTGTAGTGTGGGAGACTATGTTGTTGAGCTCGTTGGACATGCCTCCTGAGCGGGACACGTAGGCCACGCTGCCCGGCCGGTACAGATTGGAGGCCAGAATGTTGTCCAGCATTCCGCCCGTGTTCCCGATCTTGAAACAGCCGGGTTTGATGCCTCCCACCTGGTTAGAGGAACACACAGAGGAGTGATGAGGGTAGGCATGGGTTGTTATGCTCTCTTCAGAGACCAGAGAGACACAATGACAAACACACGTTAATGCTCACTAACAGTAACATGCAGCCATATTAGGTTACAATATTGCACTTAATTAGCAAAGTTCTTACTGTGGCTGGGCCGATGATTGTGATGCCGTTCTCATCGGCCCTCTTGATCAACTTCCTGGTCTGGGCTTCAGGGATACCCTCAGCTATGATGGCGATGGTGTGGATCTGGAGTCACAAAAGTAAATTCCTTATTAGGCGCATTCGAACAAGTAAAGTCAAAATGTCCTTGAATGATAAGGGACATAACTGTTAGGTCTAAGACCATGGCCTTAAACAGCTTTCTATTTTGCTAATAGTATTTATGCAACCATTACGGCAAATTAGTGTTGTTAACATTAACCTTACTCACCACCAGTCATCGTAATCGACGTTAACTGTCAGTACCACTAAACTAGAAAACCTCAGGTGTTATGGTTGGAGGTTGACAGTTACTTCCTGTGTCAGAGTAGGTGATATCACTGTGCAAGCCTACGTTAGCTTCTACAAGAGCCATCGATACACATATGTACAGTACCAGTCAAAAGTTTGGACACACCTACTCATTCAAGGGGTTTTCTTTATTTTTACATTGTAGAATAATAGTGAAGACATCAAAACTATGAAATAACATATGGAATCATGTAGTAACCAAAAAAAAAGTGTTGAACAAACCAAAATATATTTTATATTTGAGATTCTTCAAATAGCCACCCTTCGCCTTAATGACAGCTTTGCACACTCTTGGCATTCTCTCAACCAGCTTCATGAGGTAGTCACCTGGAATGCATTTCAATTAACAGGTGTGCCTTCTTAAAAGTTAATTTGAGGAATGTATTTCCTTCTTAATGCGTTTGAGCCAATCAGTTGTGTTGTGACAAGGTAGGGGGAGTATACAGAAGAAAACCCTATTTGGTAAAAGACCAAGTCCATATTATGGCAAGAACAGCTCAAATAAGCAAAGAGGAACGACAGTCCATCATTACTTTAAGACATGAAGGTCAATCAAAACAGAAAATGTCAAGAACTTTGAAAGTTTCTTCAAGTGCAGTCGCAAAAACTATCAAGCGCTATGATGAAACTGACTCATGAGGACCGCCACAGGAATGGAAGACCCAGAGTTACCAGCCTCAGAAATTGCAGCCCAAATAAATGCTTCACAGAGTTCAAGTAACAGACACATCTCAACATCAACTGTTCAGAGGAGATTGTGTGAATCAGGCCTTCATGGTCAAATTGCTGCAAATAAACCACTACTAAAGGACACCAATAAGAAGAAGAGACTTGCTTGGGCCAAGAAACACGAGCAATGGACATTAGACCGGTGGAAATGTGTCCTTTGGTCTGGAGACCAAATTGAAGATTTTTTGGTTCCAACCGCCGTGTCTTTGTGAGACATGGTGTGGGTGAACGGATGATCTCCCCATGTGTATGGTGTTATGGTGCTTTGCTGGTGAGACTGTCTGTGATTTATTTAGAATTCAAGGCACACTTAACCAGCATGGCTACCACAGCATTCTGCAGCGATACGCCATCCCGTCTGGTTTGGGCTTAGTGGGACTATCATTTGTTTTTCAACAGGACAATGACCCAACACACCTCCAGGCTGTGTAAGGGCTATTTTACCAACAAGGAGAGTGATGGAGTGCTGCATTAGATGACCTGGCCTCCACAATCCCCCGACCTCAACCCAATTGAGATGGTTTAGGATGAGTTGGACTGCAGAGTGAAAGAAAAGCAGCCAACAAGTGCTCAGCATATGTGGGAACTCCTTCAAGACAGTTGGAAAAGCATTCCAGGTGAAGCTGGTTGAGAGAATGCCAAGATTGTGCAAAGCTGTCGTCAAGGCAAAGGGTGGCTATTTGAAGAATCACAAATATAAAGTATATTTTGATTTGTTTAACACTTTTTTGGTTACTACATTATTCCATATGTATTATTTCATAGTTTTGATGTCTTCACTATTATTCTACAATGTAGAAAATAGTAAAAATAAAGAAAAACCCTTGAATGAGTAGATGTGTCCAAACTTTTGACTGGTACTGTATGTCTTTGGATGTGGATTTTGACTATATTTCTCAATATAAGGCTACCCCCCCCCCCCCCCCCACCTCCGCCAAGGAAGCCATAACTTGAGAAAAAGTGGAATAAATAAAATTATTAACAAAAGACGCCTTTACCTGTGAGTACTGCATGGTTTCTATGGTGCTGTCAAAGGCAGAGCGGAGCGAGGCAAAGCTTATGAGCACGTCCACTTCGGGGTGCTTTTTCATTGCGTCGGCCATGTTCTTATAAACAGGAATCAGGATCTCCTTGTGGCCCCAGTAGAACTTCTGCTTGTGGTCCCCACTGAGAACACAGTCACACATAGCTACATCAATAAATACACCAATTATCACTAGTCTGATCACAAACATGATTATTTAATCACTTACATTTAAACATTTTGTCATTTAGCAGACACTCTTATCCAGAGCGACTTACAGTTAGTGAGTGCATACATTTTTATTTTTCATACTGGCCACCCGTGGGAGTCGAACCCACAACCCTGGCGTTGCAAACGCCATGCTCTACCAACTGAGCTACATCCCTGCCGGCCATTCCCTCCCCTACCCTGGACGACGCTGGGCCAATTGTGCGCCGCCCCATGGGTCTCCCGGTCGCAGCCAGCTACGACAGAGCCTGGATTCGAACCAGGATCTCTAGTGGCACAGCTAGCACTGCGACGCAGTGCCTTTGACCACTGCGCCACTCGGGAGAGTTGGAGCTGGATTAACAATTAGTATTCTAAGGATACGTTCTTTCAGTTCATTACGGTCCATTTTGGATTTGGGAAACAAAGATGGATTACCAAGTACATTAGTAATTAGGCTGGCAGACGCGCGAGATGTGACTCACTGGTCTGGTATCTTGGGCTTGTAAAAGGGGAGGTTAGCTCAAATTCTGAGCGACAGTGACTTTGTGATTGGTTCTCATATGCACACTATTTGCATGAGCAACGCCCCCCACACTTCCTCGTCAATTTGCTATGCCCCCACTAGAGAGGTAAACAATCCAAGCTAAAGTTAGGCTAGCTGCCTAGATAGCCTAGCTAACTAAAAGGAGACAGACAACACTGCCACATAGTAATAATGACCAATTTAAGGCCATGATTCACTGGCAATTTTTTTGAGGCAATATTGCCGAGCAATGTTGCTGGCAACGGAGTGGGGTATGAGACACTGGAGCAATGATGAGCAATGAGCAACATGGACATGAATAATATATTTCATATGAAGCAGCATATACACTGCTCAAAAAAATAAAGGGAACACTAAAAGAACACATCCTAGATCTGAATGAATGAAATAATCTTATTAAATACTTTTTTCTTTACATAGTTGAATGTGCTGACAACAAAATCACACAAAAATTATCAATGGAAATCAAATTTATCAACCCATGGAGGTCTGGATTTGGAGTCACCCTCAAAATTAAAGTGGAAAACCACACTACAGGCTGATCCAACTTTGATGTAATGTCCTTAAAACAAGTCAAAATGAGGCTCAGTAGTGTGTGTGGCCTCCACGTGCCTGTATGACCTCCCTACAACGCCTGGGCATGCTCCTGATGAGGTGGCGGATGGTCTCCTGAGGGATCTCCTCCCAGACCTGGACTAAAGCATCCGCCAACTCCTGGACAGTCTGTGGTGCAATGTGGCGTTGGTGGATGGAGCGAGACATGATGTCCCAGATGTGCTCAATTGGATTCAGGTCTGGGGAACGGGCGGGCCAGTCCATAGCATCAATGCCTTCCTCTTGCAGGAACTGCTGACACACTCCAGCCACATGAGGTCTAGCATTGTCTTGCATTAGGAGGAACCCAGGGCTAACCGCACAAGCATATGGTCTCACAAGGAGTCTGAGGATCTCATCTCGGTACCTAATGGCAGTCAGGCTACCTCTGGCGAGCACATGGAGGGCTGTGCGGCCCCCCAAAGAAATGCCACCCCACACCATGACTGACCCACCGCCAAACCGGTCATGCTGGAGGATGTTGCAGGCAGCAGAACGTTCTCCACGGCGTCTTTCGACTCTGTCACGTCTGTCACATGTGCTCAGTGTGAACTTGCTTTCATCTGTGAAGAGCACAGGGCGCCAGTGGCGAATTTGCCAATCTTGGTGTTCTCTGGCAAATGCCAAACGTCCTGCACGGTGTTGGGCTGTAAGCACAACCCCCACCTGTGGACGTCGGGCCCTCATACCACCCTCATGGAGTCTGTTTCTGACCGTTTGAGCAGACACATGCACATTTGTGGCCTGCTGGAGGTCATTTTGCAGGGCTCTGGCAGTGCTCCTCCTGCTCCTCCTTGCACAAAGGCGGAGGTAGCGGTCCTGCTGCTGGGTTGTTGCCCTCCTACGGCCTCCTCCACGTCTCCTGATGTACTGGCCTGTCTCCTGGTATTGCCTCCATGCTCTGGACACTACGCTGACAGACACAGCAAACCTTCTTGCCACAGCTCGCATTGATGTGCCATCCTGGATGAGCTGCACTACCTGAGCCACTTGTGTGGGTTGTAGACTCCATCTCATGCTACCACTAGAGTGAAAGCACCCCCAGCATTCAAAAGTGACCAAAACATCAGCCAGGAAGCATAGGAACTGAGAAGTGGTCTGTGGTCACCACCTGCAGAACCACTCCTTTATTGGGGGTGTCTTGCTAATTGCCTATAATTTCCACCTGTTGTCTATTCCATTTGCACAACAGCATGTGAAATGTATTGTCAATCAGTGCTGCTTCCTAAGTGGACAGTTTGATTTCACAGAAGTGTGATTTCTATGGGCAGAACAATGCTAGTGAATGTTAGCTATGCTAGCTAACATTAGTTGCTACTTGCTAGTCACAATATTGTAACGTTTAACAGGTTGCAGTTGTCTAATATGTCACTCGTTTTAGTGTAGAAGGGTTGTTATAACTTTTTGAAAATGTGGGTGATGATTTATGAGCCCTATTCATGGATGTTAGCGGCAAACGATGTCCGAACTCCGAAGGTTTGTGCTAGCTAGTGTTTGGTTATCCCGGAAGGACTGGCTGGAACCAGAAGGGCTGGGGAGGTCCTATGTAAAACAATGGATCATGATTAGTTCAATTCGAAACGGGGATACCCAACCAGCGTAGGGTTCCAACTTGAAGTCTGAGGGCAAAGCCCCTTCAGCTCTAAAATAAATGTTTATTTTACCCCTCTAAATTTCAAACTGTTTTGTGAATAAGTTCTGTACCTTTCTCAATAGGCTACTCTGCATTTTTATGGCCATCTATAACAATCCACTTCATTAGAAATCCTTGAGGGGGGAGTGAACAAGTGAACACTTCGAGGAAAGCTTTGGGGGAGAATGGAAATTGGGCTCAAGAGTCTTGAGGGACCTACGTGAAGGGGTAGACCATGGCCGCCACAGAGGGCTCGTCTCGTGAGCACACGTAGTCAAAGTCGAGCATGCCTTGCACCGCCCGCGTCTGCATGCCCCATACGATGGCCTTGGTGTTTCTGCTAAACAGCATGGTGGCCTTGGCTGCAGGGAGATGAGAGAAAAAGAGAGGAGTGGAGGAAGAGAAGAAACCGCACACACAGAGGGGGTTACGTACAGTACAGCAACGCACTAAGAACAGAGACGAGCCACGGGGACGAGGAGCACATGCAAATATCAGAGACATGATAGGCTGTTAAATCTGTAAGAATATTGAGGAGAGGCGTCACACATGTTACACGGGAAATGCATCAGAGGGAGGGGTCTCTTTTTTCTGAAAGCAGACAACACCACCAGGGAAGGCAAATGAACTATTCATTTTAAACAAGTAGGGGAACTGAATCTGACATGGTATTTCTTCTCAAACATTTTTTTTTTTTTCTTTTCTTTTTTTTTTCGGGGGGATGGATCAGCTTAATATTGCAGATAGATTGTATCTTCTATCAATGTAATTGTCTGCATCACTTCCAATCCCCCATGTTTTTTTTATTTTTTATATATATATATTCCCCTTTATTACTTTTCAACCCCACCATCCTTTCCCTACTTGGAGTAAATTAGTGAACAACAACGCCCAGGCCTCTACTTCCGGTCTATACTTACTATCTACACCTTATGGACAGAGTTAATTTTACAATAATTCTATATCTATATCTATATCTATATCTATATATATATATATATATATATATTTATTTATTTTTTTGCTCCTGAACTTCTTCTACGCTCAACCTCTCCGATCATTTTCATGATGTCCATCCGGTTTGCTTCTAAATGCCATATCTTTCTAACTGTGCTCTTTCCCAAAAGCTCCCAACATACAACCTATATACTTATTATGGACACAGTATGCTTACATTATTAGCTATCTTTGTTATTATTTGTTGTTATTTGTTATTAGTCCCATCCTTCAACTCTATTCAATACCTCCCATCTATCTCTTAACACCATCCATATAGGATTTCTATTTGCCATATATATTTCAACCATACTGTGATGTTTTACAAAAGTTCTGAACCTTTCTATTCTCATTGCTTCTACAGATTGTGAATTAAAAATAAACATTTTTGCTAAAAGTATTATTATATTATTGATTGATTGACTATGACTTTTCAGATCACCCAGTAATGCTATCTGCAAGGTTAGTTCCAGGTAAATATTGCAATCCTTTAGCCATTCCTGGACCTGTGTCCAAAAACAAGCTACAAATGGACAGAACCAAAACAAATGATCTAATGATTCTATCTCTTCACAGCAAAATCTGCAGAGCTGGGAAGATTGTATCCCCCATATAAATAACATTCTATTGGTAGCAAGAATTTTATATAATAATTTAAATTGAAAGATTCTAATTTTTGAATCCGGTGTCGTTTTGCGTGTCAGTTCATAAACACTATGCCATGGGATCGGTACGTCAAAGATCTCTTCCCAACTATTTTGCAATCTATATGGGACTGCTGTCAATCCTTTGGTCCTTAAGTGAAACTGATATACTTTTTTATTTATCACAGTTTTCCTTAACCAATTATGTTCTTTAATGCAAGGCCGACAGACAAGTTCCTTACTTTCTCCCCCTTCAACTTTCCTCTTCCACTCAAACATTTGTTAGTGGAAACCTGAGGCAAGCTAAGAAATGTTATGAGAACTGAAACCAATGAGCATGTGTGAGAAGAATTGAACGGGGAATGTTTTGTATTCAAGTTTGATACGTATATAATTGTGTGCATTCCTCGACTACAGAGGGAAAAAAAACTAAGAATCCTTGATTGGGGGACATTGTTGAAAATAATCTTTCCCATCGCCCTCGACATTGACAAAAAAAGACATACGCGAAATGGCAAACTATTTATCTGAAGGTGTCGAGTGAAGTCAAGAGGGACTAGTTCATTATTAGTTACAGTGCCACATTTTGTTACGTTGCAGCCTTATTCTAAAATGGATCAAATAAAATAAATACATCTCAGCAATCTACACACAATACCCCATAATGACAAAGCGAAACCAGGTTATACATTTTTGCAAATTTATAAAACATACCTTATTTACATAAGTATTCAGACCCTTTGCTATGAAACTCGAAATCGAGCTCAGGTGCATCCTGTTTCCATTGATCATCCTTGAGATGTTCCTACAACTTGATTGGAGTCCACATGTGGTAAATTCAATTGATTGGACATGATTTGGAAAGGAACACACCTGTCTATATAAGGTTCCACTGTTGATAGTGCATGTCAGAGCAAAAACCAAGACATGAGGTCGAAGGAATTGTCCGTGGAGCTCCGAGACAGGATTGTGTCGAGGCACAGATGTGGGGAAGGGTACGAAAAAATGTCTGCAGCATTGAAGGTCCCCAAGAAAACAGTGGCCTCCATCATTCTTAAATGGAAGATGTTTGGAACCACCAAGACTCCTCCTAGAGCTGGCCGCCAGGCCAAACTGAGCAATCGGGAGAGAAGGGCCTTGGTCACGGAGGTGACCAAGAACCTGATGGTCACTGACAGAGCTGTAGAGTTCCTCTGTGGAGATGGAAGATACTTCCAGAAGGACAACCATCTATGCAGCACTCCACCAATCAGGCCTTTATGGTAGAGTGGCCAGACGGAAGCCACTCCTCAGTAAAAGGCACATCACAGCCCACTTGGAGTTTGCCAAAAGGCACCTAAAGACTCTCAGACCATGAGAACCAAGATTCTCAAGCTACCTCCTGCTGAAGTAGTCCCCTATACACATTTGCACTGCATTACACAGTACAATTATGGATACAAAATTTGTTTTGCATGATGGACTTTTTTTTATTCATGCAGTATGGAACCGTGGACTATGTGGACTTAAAATAAGGTTGGACTTATGGTAATGCAAAATGGGTATGATGAACTTATCCTTTTTATTAAGGCAATATGGAACTTTGGACTATATGGACTTAAAATCAGGTTTTGATTTAGGGGAAGGCGAAGATGGGTAAGGCTGACCTTTTTTCTTTTTGATTTATTTATTTGTAAATTGTATATTAGAAATACCGAGGTTGGTTATTTATGTATTACTTTTTTGATATGATATGGCCTAATTGTAGAGGTCGGGTATATTATGACTTAAAAGCTGTTATATAGTGCGGCCCTTGTTCGTGGACGTGAATTGGAACCATTTGCTTTTTAAGATAAAACATAATAAATATGAATAGATCTAATGTAGGGTTAGGATAAAGGATTATAGAATTAAAAACCTGCCTAGGTTCTCTATTGGCGTAGGCTATTACGATCCTAAAATAATTGGTGTCATTATCTTTTTACATTAAAAAAAAATCAATCTCAATATTAAAAATGTAAAGGACATTATTGTTCCGATACACACCGGCAAATGGATTAGGAATTGTCAACAGGGTTGTTGTCTCTATTAGTGTGTGGCGGGCTGGTTAACACTGGGATAAACTGATTCAAGTTAACGGTAGAACCAACACAATAACTGGCTTATGGAAGCACTTCCTTAAGCGAGAGGTATATTATATATTTCAATATAAGCTATTTACGCTACCTTTTTATATTCTTGATCCTAATATATAAGGTGTAAAACAATCGAGGTGATAGAGCAAAGACCCTGGAATAAAAATAAAATGTGTGTGGGTGGATAGAGAGCGGGTTGGTTTTACAGGTTTACTCGCTCTGGATTGTCAGTAACATGTATTCTTGGCTATCGTGCCATGGCTGTCAGAGTCGATTGTAAATTAAACTTGGGTATTCCTTTATGGGTAGTGTGATGCCTAAGACACATGTTTACTGGCAGTTATTAGCGGCCATTAGAATCTATGTTCCTTTTTCATTTTTTTGGGGAATAAAACAGGATATAATGAGGACTACATGAAATAATGTCTTGCATGTAATGGACATAAAGAATTAGTCTTGTGATATATACAGTGGGGAGAACAAGAATTTGATACACTGCCGATTTTGCAGGTTTTCCTACTTACAAAGCATGTAGAGGTCTGTAATTTTTATCATAGGTACACTTCAACTGTGAGAGACGGAATCTAAAACAAATATCCAGAAAATCACATTGTATGATTTATAAGTAATTCATTTGCATTTTATTGCATGACATAAGTATTTGATCACCTACCAACCAGTAAGAATTCCGGCTCTCACAGACCTGTTAGTTTTTCTTTAAGAAGCCCTCCTGTTCTCCACTCATTACCTGTATTAACTGCACCTGTTTGAACTCGTTACCTGTATAAAAGACACCTGTCCACACACTCAGTCAAACAGACTCCAACCTCTCCACAATGGCCAAGACCAGAGAGCTGTGTAAGGACATCAGGGATAAAATTGTAGACCTGCACAAGGCTGAGATGGGCTACAGGACAATAGGCAAGCAGCTTGGTGAGAAGGCAACAACTGTTGGTGCAATTATTAGAAAATGGAAGAAGTTCAAGATGACGGTCAATCACCCTCGGTCTGGGGCTCAATGCAAGTTCTCACCTCGTGGGGCATCAATGATCATGAGGAAGGTGAGGGATCAGCCCAGAACTACACGGCAGGACCTGGTCAATGACCTGAAGAGAGTTGGGACCACAGTCTCAAAGAAAACCATTAGAAACACACTACGCCGTCATGGATTAAAATCCTGCAGCGCACGCAAGGTCCCCCTGCTCAAGCCAGCGCATGTCCAGGCCCGTCTGAAGTTTGCCAATGACCATCTGGATGATCCAGAGGAGGAATGGGAGAAGGTAATGTGGTCTGATGAGACAAAAATAGAGCTTTTTGGTCTAAACTCCACTCGCCATGTTTGGAGGAAGAAGAAGGATGAGTACAACCCCAAGAACAACCGTGAAGCATGGAGGTGGAAACATCATTCTTTGGGGATGCTTTTCTGCAAAGGGGACAGGACGACTGCACCGTATTGAGGGGAGGATGGATGGGGCCATGTATCGCGAGATCTTGGCCAACAACCTCCTTCCCTCAGTAAGAGAATTGAAGATGGGTCGTGGCTGGGTCTTCCAGCATGACAACGACTCGAAACACACAGCCAGGGCAACTAAGGAGTGGCTCCGTAAG